AAAAGAAAAAATAAAAAAATAAAAAAAAATAAAAAATTACTTATAAAAAGATAATTATTAAAAAATAAATAAACAATAAAATATTAATGTAAAAAATTTAAGATTTTAAAAATTTCTCGGATTAGAAAAATTTCCGTTGTTGAGATGGAGGCAACTTGGATCGCGAGGTTTTGATTGAGAGAGTTTCAAGCCTCGAGAAGGAGGTTAGTTAGTTTATTAATTTGTTTTAATTTTGAGCGATTCGTTGTCGTTTTTCTGTGAAACTTTGAGGTAGGTGTGTCTTGAGGTTTTATATTTTTGGTTTTGATTTTAATTTCTTGAGTGTATAGTTACTACGATGGAAGTTGAACTATTGCTACGCGAGTGTTTTTACTATAAAAAAAAAAAAATAACTTTTGGGATAAGTTCTGGCTCCGTCCTTTGTTGAATTTGGATTTTTTGTTTACTAGGTTTGGGTACTGGAACTTGAATCTTGATACTGGGGTGGTAGCGTTTGTTTTGCAGAATGATGTTGGGAAGATAGTTTTGTTGGGGCTTTAATTCTTAATTTTTATTTTTGGGTTAATTTAGTTCTTAAGCAGCCTCACCTGCTTTTAATTTCATCTTCTCCCTTGTTTATGAAACTGTTTGGCAATTGTGAAATTGTTGAAGGAAAAATGAAAAGTCAGTTTTGGTTAAAGGTTCACCGTTGGATATGTTCAATCGTTTTAGTTAAACTGTTTAGGGGTTGAAATTAGAGGTAGGCGATAATGGTAAATGTGAAATGTTCTCTTTGGATGTGTTTTTTTTTTTTATAGATTGAGGGGATGCTAGAATTTTCAAAACTCAAATTTCAAATTCACATTAATGTGGAGTGAAATTGAAAATTTTCATTTGGCTTCTCTCGAGTGTTTGACCAACCCTGGTCTATTTACTATGAATTCAGAGAGACTGGGGGGATTTCATTATATATATATACACTATTTTTTTGGGTTCTTGGCTGTCTTATCTTCATTTTTGTATCCTTAATTATCCTTCTTTGTTGCTGACATAAATTTTTTTGCTTTGTCAAATAAGGAAGGGAGTGGTTAGCATTATTCTAACTAACAATATTATTGATATTGAGTATCTGGAGATTCTAATCGAGACGCATTTCAGTCTTCAAATTTTATTCTACTTTATGTTTCAAATTGAGAAGCAATGTTGTATGCATTGTTTAAGTTGTACTATCATTAAAACTAGTTTTAGACTTCTATGTTTGGTATATCATAGTTTTAGTTTATAGGCTGTTTGAAGCAGTGCATTTTTTTTTTCAAAAAAAAGAAATTATCTCCCAATTTTGGTGGCTCCAGGTGTTATTCTTTCATTTTCATTTGTCCATTTCTTTAGATTTTGTACTGGGATAAGATTTTGTACTGGGATAAATACTGATTGGCTTTAGGATGATTATGTGATGTTAAAAGGGATTTTAGCATGAAAATGAAATATTTAAAATGGGAGCTTAGTGAATAAGGGAAAACATATGCTACTACTTATCTTCCTTGTCATTCATATTTGTGCTTTTTATCAACAGGTAAGCACAGTGGGCACTTGATAAGCATGGGTGCCTGTGGTCCTGTGCAACTATAAGTTTTATTTTTCCTCCCAATTATATTTTGTGGTTGGACCTGATTATGAGTGTTTTTTGGTCCAGCTTTATGAGTACCAATTCAATATGGGACTTCTCTTGATTGAGAAAAAAGAGTGGAATTCTAAGTATGCTGAACTAAGTCAAGATTTAGTAGAAGTGAAGGATGCTCTAGAGCTAGAAAAAGCTGCTCATTTAATTGCTCTATCTGAGGCAGAGAAGAGAATCTGAGGAAGGCATTGGGTGTTGAGAAAGAGTGTGTGCTTGATGCAAGTATTTTCACCTATATGTTTACATATGAATTAAATTCTTTAATAAAAAATTTATGGATATTCATTGATATTCGCGGGTATTCAAGATTAAACTATAAAAATTAAAAGATAAAATAAGTAAAATTACAGATACTAAAAAAATATTTTACTAATTAATATTAAACTGCATTATTTACCATGTATAGATTCGGTTGTCTGAAATGCCACAATGAAGTTCAAAACCTCCATACATGTCAATAGGTAGGACTACATGTCCATTGTCCCTACCTATTTCTATGTAACATTCGTTTCTGTTTTTAATTTACAAAAAAATTAATAAAATTAAACTATTTATCACCAGGAAATCATAATAATCCTAAATCACCTAATAATTACCGTACCAAGTGGGACATTCGTAGCATAGAACAGTTTCTCGACAACATTTTCCACTACACCTTAATTAGCCATTTAGGTGTGACCTAGAAACTGAATTCATTAATTAGAGGCAGAGTATGGGATTGAATGCAACTTTGTTTATTTTGATAGGGCATATCAGAATGATTAAATAGAAAAGTTACAGGAAATGGAATGGGATTCACATGTATGTCAAGGCTGAAAGTGTTAAATTTGACAACTCGAAAGACTCTTCTTCTCATCCTATAGAGAAAAGATGTTGGGTCCTATACATTCATCCATGGCACATTTTATAGTTGTAGGAATTGGGAAATTTGCATAATTTACCTCCCAAGACCGATTAACTAGTTCCAATTAAATGGAGATCAAGATGTAGAAACATGAAGGTACAGACTACAAAATTTACTCTATCTGCAAGTCAGAATTGCAAACCGGTGATATGCACAACATTCATGTTTGGTCCATCTACCGGAAGAGTCTCGAGGCTGATCTCTTGAAGACTTTACCTTCAAGCTTTAGTCGTCTATATGCTTCTCTCAGATGACAAGGCCGGATTGTTCCAGATTCCTTCCTCTCTTTCATAACTATTCTAGCTGCAAAATATAGTACAATGCAATTGATTAATGGAAACACTGTTTAGAAATAGTATTTGTTTGCATTTTGTAATGATTTTAGAAGGAAGCAACTCATTGTAAAGGAAAAACCATCCATACCTGTTTCAACAACTTCACCAACAAACAGTTTTGCAATGCCTGATACCACAATCGTCATTGGCACTGAAATTTTCTGGGTCCCAGTGATGCTAGCCAATAACTGCTTGGTAGAAAAGAAAACTTCTAAGTAATTTTAGCTTATTATATTCTAAATTACAAATGCAAATTTGGATACAAAATGATAATCTGTAAACTTTAGTAAAATTACATTACAGGAATGCAAAAAGCAGCAATATTTTTTTTTTCATATATAAAATGGTAGATAAGAGATAACACTCCCACGACCCACCATAAAGATTTCACCTTTTATACCAAGAGATTTCTTTGAGTAGGTATGCTTACCTAAGTAAGATTTTAATAGTCACAGGACTCACAACAAATGTCAAACTTGTATCATGTGAAATGCAAGCTCAGACAGAATCGTAGACCATTTGTGCTAACCCACAATGTCAAAGAAAAAAGAAAAAGAAAATCAATATGCACCACCAAGCTGACATAAAGCCATTTTGAATAACCTAGGATAAAGTGCAATGGCTACCTCAAGCGGCTAAGAATTTGACAAAGTACAATTGTAAATAATCAAACAATTTAAACTTTTCACATTTCACAAACCCTAAACCAAAATAAAGTCTCAACTATCAAATCAAGGACTAATTTATTTTCACATAAAGTGACTTCCACGGCAAAAAAAAAAAAAAAACATTATTTTAACACCAAAACGATACTGGGAGCATAGGTCGACCCTTGTGGCATTTGACAAAACAGAATAACATAATCATTTACGAGTGTTGACATAAAATTGAACTTTTCCTGGATGAGTTCCGGAGAAAATAAAATAGAAGGTGAGGTGAAGATGCAGTTTGCAGTGGAACGATAGAATGAGGTTACGCAGTGTGTTTGTTTGAGATCGACAAGAAAAGGCATAAAAGATACCCTTTTCATGTTAGCTTTCTGAAAGCCAGCCCTGCGGAAGGACTCGTATCTACTCATCTGGTCTTCGGTGAATTGGGAGAGAATCGCCCTGAAGAAAAGGAAAGGAAATTAGAAAATAATAATAAATAGGTTAATTGGAAAATTGAAGTTGCTTAGGTTACTCACTGCATCTTGGCCATTTTGTGAGGGTCACCAGCGGAAGGAAGCTTCGCAAGCTCCACGTCCATGTTGTCTTCTTCCTCCTCCTCTTCCTCGTCCTTGTCCTTGTCTTTGTCTTTGTCTTTGTCCTTGGTGGCGCTCACCTTCTGAGGCTGTGGAAGCGGTGGCGCCGAAGACGAAGGAGGGTTTGGCGTATCCGCCTCTGCCTCCGTCTCCACCGGGGACTCCGGCGGAGATTCCTCGAATGCTGCTTCGAATGGATCCTTTGATTGCTTCATTCTAATCACAAAGATTGTGGATTTGCTTCGAACCCTTATAATATTATTTTTTTAATTTAGTGTCACTTTTATTTTATAATATTTAATTTATAATATAAATATTATTACTTTTTATTTAATTTTATATTTTTATTTATTTTTTAATATTTCATTTACAATTATCTTGTAACTTTTTTCTTTTAATATTCTTTAAATTAAAAAAAGCTTTTTATTTGACTTCTATTAGTTACTGGCACAAACTAACTAAAAAAAAAAGTGTACAATTAGTTATGGTAATTTTATAATAGAATAAACAAAGAAAAAATAGTTATGCAAGAAAAAATAGTTTTTAAAAGTTATAAAAATGAATAAAAAGTTAAAATGGTCTATATTAAAATAAAAATAATTTATTCAATAAATATTGTTGTTCTGCTTATATAATTTATAAACTTAGTTTTTATTTGACTAATTTTAATTATTTTAAAGATAACTAATTTTTAGATCTATTAATTGAATATTTGATGAAATGTTAACGGTTAAAATGATAATAATATTAAAAATAAAATTAATTTTTTACTATTCTTTTATAAATTAAAACTACTAAATCATTTATATTATTTAATTTATAAATTACACACTATATATACCAAAATACAAGGGTGAAAATGGGAAAGTTAAGAACAAGCGTAAAATAGGAATAAAAATAAAGTTTATGCCAACAAGGCTTAGGAGGATGATCAATATGAGAAGCATGTCTTTAGGGGTATTAGCTCCCCTATCCTTTTCCAATCTCCTAGCCATGGGCCTAGTGATGGGTCCCAC